ATTGTACACCTGAAACTAATATCACACTGTATATTAACTAACTGCAATTTAAATAAAAACTTTAAAAAGGGTGGATGAAGCATCAGAATAGATAGGTCAGTAGAAAGTATTATAAAGGCAAGAAACAATTTTAAGTGTCTTCATTAAGTGTGCCAGTGCTTATATGAAATGTATTATAAGTACATGTAGGGGGCGCCTGGGTGGCTCAGTCGGTTAAGCGGCCGACTTCAGCTCAGGTCACGATCTCACGGTCCGTGAGTTCGAGCCCCGCGTCGGGCTCTGGGCTGACAGCTCGGAGCCTGGAGCCTGTTTCCGATTCTGTGTCTCCCTCTCTCTCTGCCCCTCCCCCGTTCATGCTCTGTCTCTCTCTGTCTCAAAAATAAATAAAACGTTAAAAAAAAAAAAAGTACATGTAGAATGTAGGTGAAATTTCATATTAAGGAAGTAAAGATAGATTGTCCAATAAGATGCTAGGATAAAAAAATTTTAACTAAAATTTTTAAAATACCACACTTCTGACACACAGAAATAAACTGTGGACACTTAAAAGATTTAAATGTTGTTTTTAAATTTTTTAAATGTTTATTTATTTTTGAAGGAGAGACAGAGCATGAGCAGGGGAGGGGCAGAGAGAGAGGGGGAGGCACAGAATCCAAAGCAGGCTCCAGGCTCCGAGCTGTCAGCACAGAGCCCAATGTGGGGCTCAAACTCACAAACCATGAGATCATGACCTGAGCTGAAGTCAGTCACTTAACCTACTGGCCACCCCAAAGATTTAAATGTTAAATAAAACACTAGAACACTTAGATGGATGTTTATATAATGTAGAAGTAGAAGTCTTTCAAAGCATAGATCAAAAGATAGTCCCAAAATAAATATTAGTATGTTTATTACTTTAAAAATGTATATCTTCATGTCAAAAAAGGTCATAAAACCAAATGCAAATAATGAAGTAGTAAAGCTACTATATGCAACATTTACCAAACAAAATGAAGGTTAATAATGCTCTCGACAGAAGAAGAATCTTGTAAAACAGTAAGAAAAGATAAATACCTCAATAGAAGAAGGCACAAAGACATAAAAGAAACTCAAAATGTTAATAAACATATTAAAATGTTCAGCCTAAATAGTAATCAAAGTAAATGAAATAACATTTTGCATATCAGATATTAAAGGCAAAAAATAACACCGGAGATGTGTGCACAGATAGACGAACACTGGTGGTGAAGGATAAACTGGTACAATTTTTCTGATTTGTAATGTAGTGAGAGGGATCACAAGCCTTAAAAGGTGTGTGTCTGTAGTCCCTACAGTTCCATCTGGGCTGGGAATTCATCCTAAGGAAGTAAGAATATGCAAAACAGAACAAAACAACAAAGAACAACAACAACAACAACAACAACAAAAAACCTCATCTAGAAGCACAACTGGAAAACTGGAATAACAAAAAAACCTGAAAACAAATTACATTTCTAATAATAAATAATTGATAAAATAAATTATAGTTCTATCCATACAATGAAATACTATGTGACTTTTTTAAATGATGGCATAAAAATACGGCTGTTGCCAAGGAAAGATGTTCCTATATACTTTTAAATGAAAAAAGGGACAGATTATGAGACAGTAGGTACAGTTGGGTCCCATTTTTAAAAGTTTTTTTTTTTTTTTTGAAAGAGAGGGAGTGAGAGAGAGAGAGAGAGAGCATGCACGCACATGTATGCCAGGGCACAGGGGAGGGGCAGAGGTAGAAGGCAAGAGAGAATCCCAAGCAGGTTACATGTCCCAGCAACCCCCCAGCCCCCCACCCCCAACCCCCACAGAGGTTGACAGGGGGCTCCATCTCACAGCCATGAGATCATGACCTGAGCCGAAATCAAGAATTGGATGCTCAACTGACTGAGCCTCCCCAGGAACCCCAAACAATCTTTATACATAGGAAAAGATCTGGAGGAATTTACTTCAAAACATTTCCAGTCTCACTGCTGGGTGGTAAAATTATGAGTGTCCTGGGGTTTTGCTTTTTCATCATCCATACTTCCTAACTTTTCTACATTAAGCACTTCCTGTGCAATTTTTAAATGAAAAAAAAAATAGCCAATTGGGTGGCTCAGTTGGTTAAGCATCTGACTTCGGCTCAGGTCATGATCTTGAGGTCCATGAGTTCGAGCCCTGCGTTGGACTTTGCGCTGACAGCTCGGAGCCTGGAGCCTGCTTGGGATTCTGTGTCTCCCTCTCTCTCTGCCCCTCCCCTGCTCGTACTCTGTCCCTCTCTTTCTCTGTCTCTCAAAAATAAACAAACATTAAAAGTATTTTTTTAATAAAAAAAAAATAGGAGCTGCTAGCAATTCCCAGATATGCATTCCTCCTTGGCCCTGTTTAGTCTGGGAGATAAAAAGGTTTCATTAAGGAGAAATGATCCCATGGCTTAAAAATATATACCTCCGCCCCAAAGTTTCATGCCAATTCCTCGCTCAGGTTCTTCCTCCTCACTGAGAAAACTGCCACCAAAGGCTATAAGGTGACAAGGATTCCAGCTTTCCTCTTCTCCTCCCCAGCTCCCAAGGGGATTATCTCTTTTCCTGGCAAACTGGGAACGAAATCGGCCATGAAAGGTAACAGGGTACTCCAAAACTCTCCAACCAGATGGGTGAAGGGGAGGAGGCCCTGGGGCAGCAAAGAGGGGTATCTGGGTTAAGTAGGCAGCACATGAATCTGAGCTATGCCACCTACACCATAAGACAGCAAGGGGTGAGGTAGCAGAGATCAAAGCTCCCTGAAGGACTGGGAGCGAAAGCAAGACAATGACACTTCCAACTAGGGTTATAATTATATATTTCTTAAAAAAAATTTTTTTAATGTTTATTTTTGAGAGAGAGGGAGAGTACAAGCTGGGGAGGGGCAGAGACAGGGAGACAGAGGATCTGAAGCAGTCTCCAGGCTCTGACAGCAGAGAGTCTGATGCGGGGCTCAAACCGTGAGATCATGGCCTGAGCCGAAGTCGGACGCTCAAGTGACAGACCCACCCCAGTGCCCTCATTATGTATTTCTAAATAGAATAATTTACCAGAAATTTTTTCCTCCAGTCACAGTCTAAATTATTAAAAATTGAAAACTCCGAACTGCTCCCCTGCCTCAGCTGTTTCCATCCCCCCTCCTCCCCCTCCTTTCTCCACACCAGGTACAGGCCTCAGAAATGGCCTCATCCTCCATCCCAACCTCAGGTCCGACCATTCTCAGCACCAAGCCTGGGGACAGCAGCTCTCCGACTGGGCCCAGGCCAGGGCGCCTGCCCTTACAGGGCCTCTGCGGCCAGGTCACAGGTCCAGGCCATTTCCGCCTTAAACCCAGAGGGGGACAGGTCTATAGAACAACTCCTTAGATGCCATAAATGTTTCCTGGATGTGGAAAACCCATTTCCTGGTCTGTATGTGGGCCACGGGCCTCCTATGTGGGCTGGCAGCCAACCTGCCTCTGGAAAAGAGGTTTCTTGAACATGCTGATACACAAGTGCCTTGTGTGTGTCACAAATGTCTATTTATCATATGCACTACATGTGTATGAATGTTCGGGCCACCCTCAGTAATATAGGAATGTCCCTGTACCTCCTCCTCCTCTCTTGGAATCGCTTAGCTGGTTCTAACCCCAGGCAGCCTTGAACTTGGAATCAAAATCAAGTCCAGCCTCTCTGATGCTCTACTTTCTGGTAAAAAGGAAGAAGGAGGAGGAGGAGGGGGAGAAGGAGAAGAGGAAGGAGAAGAAGAAGGAAGGGGAGAGAGGGGAGGAAAAGGAAGAGGGAGAAAAGGGAGAAGAAAGAGGAGGAGGAGAAGAAGGAGAAAGAGCTGGTCTAAATACCTTTCCCAGGGCAGCAGGAACTCACAGTGAGATCCCTCTGTCCCTATTCTGCTGGCCTCCGGAGCCTGAGAGGCACAGATACGAGCCTCCCGCTAGAGGAGCTGACCCTGCTGTGTGCCCCAGCTGGGCCTAGTCTTCCACCCTGGCCCTGGTCCTGCTGTCATAGTGGGGCTGCTCCCACTACCCCTCCTAAGCGTGATGTTGAGGACCCCAGGCCAGTATATAGCCCTCGAGCCTCTGTGTGGGGAGCCAGAAAAGCTGACACAGAGCCAGGTGCCAGGCTGGGGAGGCACCCTGCACGAGGAACCCTGTGGACAGTCCTCTTTACGTCATTACACAAGTGGGGTGGCCCTCCAGAGCCCAAGGGCCATCTGGGGAACATCAGGCAGCACCAAGACAGGTTGGCTGTGGCAGTCAGGACAGGGCTGGGACTATCCTCTGCCAAGGCTACAGGCTTCCTTTGCAGCTGGTAGAGAAGCAAACGGGGAGGCTCAACAGTCCCCACCCCCACCCCCACCTCAGTACATAAGAGGAAAGCCTTCTCTATCCCAGGGCTGAAGTGCTTCTCGGCAATTGGTGCTTTCTAACTACCTGGAATTCCGAAAGGGCAACAGACCTCAGAGTTTAAAAAAAAAAAAAAAAAAGTAATTCTTAGAGCTGGAAGTAAAACTGATCTGCTCAAACAAATACTAAAAATAACTGCCATTTATTAAGCATTTATTACGAGCTCAATTAGGCATTTTGCATAAATTACAGTTACTCCTAAGAACAACTCCACAAAGTCGCTATCCTTATATTTTCCTTATAACACAGATGCGGGAATGGATGCACAGAGAGGTTGAGAGACTTGCCCAAAGTTACCAGTTTGTGAGAGGCTGGTCAGGTCTATATGACTTTCAAGTCCACGTTCTCTACCACGCAGGGACACTGCCTCTGGGGTCCTGACAAATCACCCTTTTTTATGAATAAATGAACTCTCTGTGTAGTGCTTATGCTCTTCAGGAGTGGGTTTCTTTGATGTTTCAGAAAAACATATTGCTCAGAGTGGTTTCTCTAGAGACCTTATCCCTGAAGGCTCTTGAAGCAGCCAAGGGCAGTAAACTCAAGTGCAGAGCCTACAGCGTCGGGATCTTCCCTTGATGGGCAGCCAAGTGATTGATTCTATACAAAGACAAATCTATCCCACCAATCTTCAGGCTCATTCCCCAGGTGCCAGTGACGCTCAGTGCCTGGGGAAGCAGCTTTGACCCATTTGTTCCCTGGTTTTCCCACCGGCAGCCCCCAGATCCTCTGGACAAAGGTTCTGGGATAGACTGACAAGGTTGCAGAGAGGCAGAGGCAGAGGAGACCCAGAGCCATTAATCTAATCCTATCATTCCACAGATGAGAAGGCCGAGGCTGAAGGAGGTCATTAAAGCACTGTTGGTCTCCTGGCATCTTCTTATCTTTCCCACAAGCTTAGGCCCTAAGGGTAGGGCCAGATGTTAGTGCTTATGTGTACAATTCCTTTTGTAGAAGCAGGAGTCTGAGAATGAGAGGGAGGAAGAGAAGTATAAATGGTTAAGAGCACTACGTGGGAGTGAGAGAGACCAAGGTTCAAATGCTCACTTTGCTTCTGCACAGCTCTGTGATCTTGCCAAGTGACTTAATCCCTTTGTGCCTCACTTCCCTCTTCGGCAACAGAGATAATAATAGTGCCAACCTTACAGGACTGGTCTAAGAATTAATCACAATAATGTATAGCCCAGTGCCTGGCTCAACTATAAAGGAGTAATAAATAAGAAACTCTGAATAAAGGATGGACTTTAGTTAATAACGTGCTGATATTGATTCATTAATTTTAATGAAGGTACTACCCTGATAAGATGTGAATAATAGGGAAAACTGGATTGGGATGTATGGGGATCCTCTGGACTATCCTCACCATTTTTCTGTAAATTTAAAACAGCTAACATAAAGGGTTTACTTAAAATAATAAAAGAGCAGTATAGAAGAAATCGTGTTTGTTAGTGGAGGAAATGATTACGAGACATGTCCCTGACACTCTGGAAACAGCCAGGAAAAGTCGAGCAGCAAGTCGGACAGCGTCAAAGACCCTAATGCTCAGTCAACTCAAGTCTGCTCCAATTCCCAACCGCAAATATCAACAGGCAATGGGATTGACAGGCATCAAGGCATCAGGATAAGACTACTAGGTCGGAGGTCAGATAGATACCACGGTTAAGGGGCCAATTCTCATCGACCATTTAGCATCTCTTCGGTCCTGGGCAGAGACCCTCCTCTCTCAAGCTCCTTTCCCCCATCCCTGCAGACTGTTTCTCCCTGTCTAGAGTGGAGTTGTCACGGGGCTGAAACGAGAAGTGTGGCGGGCAGCCTCTAAAATGCCCCTGGTAGGCACCTGGGTGGCTCAGTCGGTGAAGCATCCGATTTCGGCTCAGGTCACGATCTTGCGGTTTGAGAGTTAGAACCCCACGGTGGGCTCTGTGTTGACAGCTTGGAGCCCAGAGCCTGCTTTGGATTCTGTGTCTCCTTCTCTGTGTACCCTCCCCTGCTCGCACTCTGTATGTGTGTCTCTCTCAAAAATAAATAAACATAAAAAACTGTTTAATACCGTCAATAATCCCCACTCTTGGTAGTCACACTCCTGTGTAACCTTCTCCCCCTGGCTGTAGGTTGGACTTACTGACTTGCTGCTAACAAACAGAAAATGTCAAATGATGGGGTGTCAGGTTTGAGCTGAGGGTATAAAAAGACTGGGCTTCGTTACTGGCCTGGGGAAAGCTAGCTGCCTCGTTGTTGGGCAGGCCCTGCGGAGAGGCTCCTGTGGGTGAGCCAGGAAGCGCATCTTCTGAAGCCTCGAACAATATTCGAGTGCTAGGAGCCCCTTCAGCCCCCCACTCAGACCTCGAGATGACCGTGATGCTGGATACCTCCTCTGCTGCCACCTCCTGAAAGACCCCAAGCCACAAGCCCCCGGCCGAGTTGTGCCCGGATCCTCAGTACACAGAAACTGCGAGATAACAAATGTTTTTTTTGCTGTTTGGAGCCACTACCGTTGGAGGTAATTTTTTCATGCGGTACTATGTAACTAATATAAGAGATTCTCTGCGAAAGAAAAAGAAAGCACAAACTCGGTGGAAAACTAGAAGCTCAGGAATGTCAAAACAAAACAAAACCCTAGAGCCCATCTGATCCCATGGCAGCCCTTCTACATAGCCACCTCACATGCCATTTCTGCTTATCACGGTCTCTCCCTTCCTCTCGCTTCCTGAACATCTGGAGACAGATGGGTTTGGTGACGGCAGCCCAGGAACTCTGCTCACACTGGGAAGAACTCTGGGGTCCAGGGACAGTCAGGTGGGGCAGGCTAGCTCTGCCCTGGCTCGAGGCAGGGGCCTGGCTTCAGATCAAGCCAAACAGCCGTCCCAGAGACATTCAGCCCAGCTTTTGGGGGGATTTCTCTGTCCAATTCACTGCATCACCCCAAATAGTCTATCTTCCTTCTACCTCGTTGTGCTCCTTCTTTAAAAAAAATTTTTTTTAACATTTATTTATTTTTGAGAGGCAGAGAGACAGAGCACAAGTGGGGGAGGAACAGAGAGTGAGAAGAAGACACAGAATCTCAGGCAGGCTCCAGGCTCCGGGCTCTGAGCTGTCAGCACAGAGACCGACACAGGGCTTGAACCCACGAACTGGGAGATCATGACCTCAGCTGATGTTGGACACTTAACCGACTGAGCCACCCAGGCGCCCCTCATTGTGCTCCTTCTAAGGCTGCCTCCAAGACAAAGAGAACCTCTTGAAAGTGGATCCAACCTTACACCTACAGGAAGGAACAGGCCAACAATCTATACTCCCAGCACAAGGCCAGCTGCAGTATATGCTCCAGGCCAGACACTCCTCCCATGGCCACTATTCCCAGGCACAGATCCTTGAAGGGTGAGGAGCAGGAAGCCCATCCATCTTCCGAGAGAAGTCCAAGTTCTCCAGCAGTCATTCAGCACCCCCAACTCCAGTGAGCTCTGTGGGGGAAGAATGGTTTTGAAAGGTTGGGGCCACTGTGGAGAGAAAACGATCTATTCACACTAGAAGGACCCGATGTAACGCCAACACCAACCTCCACCATCGCCTGGCTTCGATACAGGTTTTCCTCCCAGTTTCTTTCCCTCTCTCTTCTTCCCAGCACTTCTCTCCCCAAACTTTCTGGGCTTGCCAGGCAGCTCCTTTTCCCCGGGGAATCTCCCTCCTACTTTCCTTTCCCAAATGGCTGAAATCTATGCAACTCTCAACTTGATTACCCCCTAAAAGCGGCTGGGTGTGCAGAGAAGTGGTTTCTGTAGATGCTCCTCCGAGGGGGGCAGGAGAAGGATGCGGACGCTAAGCCTCAGCTCCTGGGGCGCAGCCATGGCTGTGAAGAGCTGGCAGAAGCATTAACAGCGGTGGCAGCTCCCCAGGAAGGGCCTCCTGTGGTGTGACAGAAATGAGGGCCCAGAAGGGAGCCAGCGGGATTCAGGCTGGGCTTGCGGCACGCGCTCTCGGGTCCAGCAGGGCACATGGCAGTTGCTCACACCCAGCACCAGCCTGCGAGGTCTGCTTATCTTGGACCAGGACCTGCCCCCTGGCCATCCCTGCTCCTCCAACATCCCCTTCTCCCAGAGCGGGACTTGAACCATTTTTCCCAAACCTAGGGCTAGCGTTCACAGGCAGAAAAATGTAGACACAGCCATGGGAGAGGGGGCCAGTCTTCCCAGCAGCCATTTCCTTCCCTGCTCTGGATCTACCCTCATGTGGGACTCTTACAGAGCCTTCACCTACCACGCTGGATGGTGTCAGTCGTGCGTCCGGCACCTTCCCCCTTCTCTGAACACAGGGATGCTCATCCAGAGAGAGTCCAGGTGGCAGTGTGGGGAGCCAGGGTGAAGTTACGGTTCTAGTCCGGGGCCCTCAGAAGCAAGTAATTAGTCAAGGGACAGGTCTCAGAACCCCCAGGACTCCACCGAGGGCTCCATGGCTCCAGCACGCTGTGAGGAAATCTCAGCTTAGCATTGGAGGAGTACTTAATCTGGTGCAACCAGGCCGTGCACTCCAACCACAGAGGCTGGGTCCTGCTCAGATCTGTGCTCCCCGCACAGAGCCTAGCCCAGGGTGGGTCCCCAATATGTCTCTCCTCTCCCCTGTGCCCAGCGCTGACACGCTCCAGGCTGCCAGCCTGGAGGAGACACTAATGCGGAGAAAAACGAGGAACGGAGCGATATCTAGAGGCGCGGCTGGAGAAGGAAGGGTTCACAGCTATCCCCGAGGCCGTGACAGCCACAGAGCATGACAGGGCGTACAACTCAGCTCTCAGAAGATGCCTTACAGGGCTCAGGGGTTAGGAGGCCTCACTGAGGGCAAAAAGGAATTAATTCAGTGGGAGTCATCAGCAAGGCATGGCTTCCCACATTTCCTCACACGAGGGGTTCTTTCTACTCTCTATTTGCTATAGAACCAAGATGAAACTCCTCTGCCTGGAATTCAAAACAGTCTGCAATCTGGCTCCCTCCCCGCCCTCTCACTGCTTCTCTACCCCCAGCCTCTCTGCACAGTCCTGGGTGCCCAGCATGCGGGCCTCATGGCCGTCCGGCTTCTTCCCATCCCCACAAATGGCACTCCTTTCCTCCTCCCTCCCTCTTTCCAACAGATCCAAACCTGTGAGCACTGGGTCCTGGCCCCATTCTCTGTGAAGCCTGTTCTGATCACTTCAGCCCACACTGATCTCTGCCTTTTCTGAACTCCTACAGCGCTCCTAGCCTGCACCACATGACCAAGCCCGTTTATAGCAACTCGCATTGCTCATTAGTTGCTCTTCTTCTGGCTGTAGCCAACTGGAACAGGAGAGCTGCACAGTACCCACCAGCACCACAAGGCCAGGTTCGAGTTCTCTGAGAGGTGGGACATACTGGAATTGTTCTATGTCTCTCCTGGTCCAGGGTAGGCTCTGTAAATGCCAGCAATCATTTCTTTTCGGTTTTCAGGTGCTATCTTCCTCCCATCCCCAGCAAGGTGCCTGGCTCTCCCTGGTACAGTGCGCTGGGGCACAGGTTCGGAAGACCAGTTCCTTGGTGGGGTCCGCTAAGTGGGCTGAGGAGTGGTCTTTTCCAGGGCTGGCCTTTTATCGTCTGCCTCGGTCAGAAAGTGCCTTAACAGGGGGAGCCCACCACCCTGTCTGCCACGCCTCCGCTCCCACACTCCCCTTCGTCAGGCTTTATCAGCCCGCTCCCATCTCTACCAGGCCAAGCCCTGACGTCTGGGGGGATTAACTTGCCCCGATTGCTCAGCACCACAGCCTCTGTTTATGACACTAGGTCTCTGGAGTGTTGCACATTCCTGTGGACAGGGAGGAGCCATTTCATGCAAGATGTTCTGTCACGATTCTCACAGTCTCTGTGCTGAAGGTAAGCAGATGGGTCAGAGCGGCCTCCTCCTCTCCTCTCCCCCATTCCCACAGTGAGGGAGCCAGCCTATCTTAAGATTTGAAAAGAAGGTGGCTGTGAGTTTGACCAGACAAGCCACTAAAACTGCCTTCCAGAGAGTTGAACCCCAAGGTGCCCAGTGTCAGATGACAAGGTCTCTGCTTCTTGGGACGCATCAGTGTCTTATGCTGAGAGTGGTCCCCAGGACAGAGCGGATCCAGTGCGAGGCCCAGCCTGAAGGCTGGCCCATCCTGGGGCTGCTCCTCTGTGGGCCTTTTCCATGCTGAGCCTCTAGGACACTCCTCGTGAGGTTTCCAAGCCTCACTGCCCTCTCGGCCCCTCAGACGTTTGCCTTCATTGCCTCTGTTTCTACTGTTAGCCCTCAGTCTCACGGCTAGAAAGGCAAAAAACCAACCTTTACTACGCTGTTATACTTTCAATGAGTTCATACACACGTAATTTCATTACATGTTCCCGGCATTCTTTCACGTCAGAGAGCTTAAGGATTCGTCTCCTCAAGCCCAAGAAATAATGTGACCCGCTCACGTTGTTAGCGACTTATATATGGTATTGAATGGACCCTAGAGTTTCAAACACTTAGGGTTGTTTTTAATGATATATGGCCTCAACTCCCTGCCCTCTCATACTGAAAACTTTCTTACCATAAATAATGTTTTCCTGCCACTCGACAATTCTAAAAGAGAGAAGAAATAGGCACCAATTCTATCATAAACTTCTATCCCCACTCCTATATCCCCACCAGGATCATGGAGACATCTATCTTGCATACACAGAAATGCCTTGATTGTGATAGGTATATAAGGATATTTAGTCAACGTGGATTCAGCGTCATTCTCATCAATGCCTTGCACATGTGTGTGTGTGTATTTAATTGTATCAGCTTTACACTTGGCCCTAAAACCTCAATTCTAAGAATTTATTATCAGGAAAGAGAGATGAATACTAAGAGGTATATACAAAGTTGTTCAACAAAGCATTATTTACAATAATGAGAAACTTGGAAGGGCCTGCATTACAAATGGCTTACACTTGGGTATTTGTTAAATAAAGTTTGGTTCTTTCAAATGATAGAACATCAGCCATTAAAATTCAGGTTTCTGAAGAACAATTAATGGCATGGGTAGAGTCACCATATAGTAATAGGTGAGAAAAAGTAGTATATAAATTATGATAGTAAGACCTAGTAAGGAGAAAAAAATATATATGTGTGGAAAAACAATCTGGAAGGAAATTTACCAAGACTTACAAGAGGATGTATTTTGGCATGTTAAAATTGTGAATCATTTTTCTTTTTTTCACGATGTGTTTCTGGGTTTTCAATATTTCCTACAATGGGCATTTATTACTCTTAAGATAAGAAAACAGGGGAGTACCTGGGTGGCTCAGTGGGTGAAGCCTCCCACTTTGGCCCAGGTCATGATCTCACGGTCTGTGAGTTCGAGCCCCACATTGGGCTCTGTGCTAACAGCTCACAGCCTGGAGCCTGCTTCGGATTCTGTGTCTCCCTCTCTCCGTGACCCTCCCCTGTTCGTGTTCTGTCTCTTTCTCCCTCTCTCTCAAAAATAAATAAACATTAAAAAAAATTTTTTTAATAGGAAAACATAACAGATGCTGATTTTTGTTAAATTCTTTTTTCATTTTCCATAAGAGCCCCTGTCAGTATTTAGGACAGGGGAAGTTAGCCCATTTTAGAGACAGCATAATAAGCACAGAGAAACTAAGTGACAACCAATGTCACAAAGCAACTGAAGATCAACATCAGGATCTGGACCCAGGTGTCCTCAGACCTAGCTTGTGACCCTTCTGCTCCACTATATGGCCTCCCTAGATGCCCATTTTCCTACGGCTTAGTCATGCTTTTACTTTCAGCCCAGAGACTTGTGAAACTTACCTTCCTCGGGCACATGCTCTCCACCCTTGTATTCTGAGATGTGCCCATACAGACACCAGCCTCACTGGGGGCCAAAAAACTGGGACAATCAGACCTTAGGGGTAGGGGATGAGAGCCAAAGAGCATTCTGATTCCACCTCAAGGGACTGCCATAGTGCTGGGCACTTGGTAGGGGCTCAATAGGTACTTGGCTGGCAGGCCCTTCTGCACAGGCTGTTCTAAGAGCTTTGCTCACAGCAGCTGCCACCTGACCTCCAGGGAAAACCAGGCCTTCACTGCTCCTCCCCAAGAAGAATGCATCTCCTCTCTTCACCCAATAAGGCCAAGGAGTTGGACATCCTAAGGCAGTGGTTCAGAACCTTTTGGGGGTTACTTAACTCTCTGAGAATCTGATGAAAGTTATGGACCTCCTGCAGAAAAGTGCATACAAGCTGATACCCATAGACTCATGTACATAATTCATGAAGGTTTACAGACCTTCTGAAGCTAACCTAGATCCTAGCTTCTAGGTCTGAGCAGACAGAGTGCCAGGGGAAGCATGAAAGCCAGGCCCCTCCTCAAAGCCCTACCAGAGTTCCGCTCCTTCCCTGGCTCTTTCAACTTGCCACTTCTCTGCCTCAGTGAGCCCTAATTAGCTTCTCTCTGGGAGGTGACTCAGGGCCATTATCCTCCCTTCACCCCTGATGACCCATTGGGAGGAGAGGGGAAGTGACTTACATAGAGTCATACCATGAGTCAGTGCACAAGCCAAGACTAGAATATGGCTTTTGGGGCTCCCAGGGCTATATTTAGGCCACTGGGAAAAGTGCTTCTCACAGCAGGGTCTGGACATATGCAGAGAAGGGACAAAGGCAGATGGTAACCACAGCTCCAGGATAGTAGAAAGAGACAGAATCTGGAGCTTCGTCGCCTTTAAGCACCCCTTCCTTGCAACGCTAGAATGCTTAGGAGAGCGTCATCCTCACTCTGTGCGAGAAGAAAGTGAGGTGACAGGAAGGGATGAAGAACTCTGAGTTCCTGGCTCTGCTGTCATGTTCTTCCCTCCAGCCACTGCAGACCCAGGCGAA